TTCCATAAAAATATTTTCAGCTGTAAGCCTTTGTAAATTTCTTTCTTTTGACAGCCATATTGCAGTATTCACTTTACCGTATCAATTGACCTAAACTGAAATTTTAAACACAGGTGGCAACTCTCTAATTTTTTTTCTATATTGGAAGCTAGATCTCTAGCGATACATCGGTGAAAACTGCAATCAATTCCATGTTTTCGACTGATGCGCGTACAAATACACAGACATACAGAGATTCAAAAATTCTAAAAATTGTTTATTTGGCTTCTGTAGCTTTAATAAAAACCCACCATATTAATTTTTCTTTAATATGTATAAGGTACAGACATCGACCTGTTACAATTTTATAATATGTATAGATGTAGATATAGATTTCATTTATTTCATCAATTTAATACAATAACAGTTTTCAAACAGGTGGCAGCCCTCCCTAAAAATATTTTCGGCAATAAAATTTCCTAAACCTCTTCAGTTTGATACCCATATTGCAATATTCAATTTATCTTATAAATTAAATTAAATGTAAATTTTCAAACAGGTGGCAACTCTAAAAAAATATTTTTGGCTGTAAGCCTTCTTCAGCCTCTTTCCTTTGCCGCCCATATTGCAAATTTAATTTTTCTTATCAATTTACTTAAACTCCAATTTTCAAACAGGTGGCAACTTTCTAATTTTTTTCTTCCTATATTTTAAGTTAGACCTCTATCAATAAATCGGTGAAAACTGCATTCAAATCCATGCATTCGTTTNATCGCAAAAAATTTTATATTTTTGTAATTATTTTATTATGCGTTGCTTCCATCCTCAGTTGAAAAAAAATGGCTCGTTTCTTTTGGTTTCACTTCCTCTTTTCTTAAATCATTGCCAATATTTTCAGCTTCATAAATATTTACATGATCTGCGACAAAGGCAACATTTCCCTTAAAGATAGATGTGCACATAAATTAGCTGGGAAAATATTTAATTATGTTTATATTCACATCCATGCAAGTATATATATTTATTTATATGTGTCCATATGCACAACAGCCATGCCGAACGCTTACGTCGGCGACAATGAATCGCCCCATCTAGGATTCACTATGCGCCCACGTTACATCCATTAATTGCACATAGACAAATGCGAATCGGCATACCGCACATCTGCCTTTAATTATTTGTACACAATAATGTCTTAATTTTTCCACGATTTACGGTCTAAATGCAAACGCGGGGTATAGTGAGACCGTATGCAATGTTAGTATTTTCATAGTCAATTTACACTAAACTTAATTAACTTAATCAATAAAGAAAATGCTTTCGCGCTGGTTAATCAACATCGAGACGTTGGCGCTGGTTAGCTTTTGCGGCGAATTTTCGTTTATTGAATGAGGTAGGCACATCAATTGCTATTGTTGGATCTAATGAAACAATAGTTTTCTCTTTAAATCGCTTTACAGGAGGCTCAGCTGGAATTTCAGACACTACGGGTGGCACATAGTGGCTCTCAACCTTGGGCAGTTCCAAGTCTACTGGTTTCGGAGGTGGTCTGAAAAATGCAAATACTTTACATTTTAATCTAAATAATTAATTAAAAAACATATTCTTAGTAAACGCATAGCCACACACATTTCGCGCAACTTTCGAGTTATGTTCTTTCAACCTTTTTAATTCATTTATGGCGTTATACAAATAAAAATTAGCATCTAAAAACTTATTAAACAAAATATAGACTGCTGAGTGGAAGATCGACCTATCTCGGCAGCCAGTTCGGTTCTACGTACCGGAATGACTCGGGTTTCACCCGACCAAGGGCTGTTGTTTCGGCGATCTAACCCCGTCTAGATCGGCGATACCCATTAATCATTATCCGTCTATGGAGCAATACCTTGCAGCCGGATTGCTCCGCATCCTTCTACTCCGGGCGGGCGTAGAGCCTAACCCCGGACCTGAAATTTACTTCTGCTGTGTTTGCCAGAATCGACTTCACCCGAACTCCACTTCGGTTAGGTGCAACTCCTGCAACGGGTGGAGTCACCTAAGAACCTGCTCTGGCCTTAGGTCTCACCGGGAGTGGACCACAAACTTTGTGGCAACCTGTTGCTCAAGCCAAATGGCACAATCAGCCTCCACGGCTACCCACTC